TAAAGTAAAGTAAAAAACAGATGGAAAATATGAACTCTAGCTTGGTGTTATCATTGGCAACAACATTCTTAAGCTGGCCCGTCTGCTTCCCGGCAGCACCGTTTCTCGGCTGTGATGCACTTCGCAGGTCTCAAAGCTGTTGGCGAGTCCGTCCAAATGCCTTTGGAATATTACAAGGTGAACCTGACAGGGACCATCCGGCTGTTGGAGGTGAGCAGCGCCAGGCAAAGTGCACACGGTAACTCCGTCCCTGGAGAAAATGCCCCATCGCGTGATGCACAAGCATCGAGAGCAGCCTGAGGGCGTGCGGAGCGTCTGCTGTGGCGACTGCCTCTGCTTTTGCCTTGGGCTGACACAGGAACGGTAGCCTGTTTGGACTGCCTGAAGGCCTTCCCCAAGAAGATCCTGCATCTCAGCTGCGAAGACACGGCTGTGGAGCAGGGTGTCTCGTGGCTCTGCCTGAGCGGGATGGGGGCCTGGGGGGTGCTTGGCACTGGAGGTGCTGCTTCCAAGCCCAAAGGCATCCCACATCCCCTCTGCGTGGCTGCAGAGACCTCTGGGATACCAGATCCTTCTCAAGAGGCAGCTGCGGTTTTGGAAATGGCAACTTCACAGTGTTTACTGCCTCCCCCAAACCTGCAGATGTCTTGGCCTGCAATTTCATCATCCCCGGCAAGCATGATCACAGTCCATGGCGAGGGAGGATGGGCATTGTAAGGTGCAGGAAGGCCGCCATTTGTTCACCTGCAGTCGCTCGTGGGCGACGCCGAGCGGGGAAGTCGCCGCCAGGGCGCTCCACTGTGCGTGCAGCTATTCTCGAACAGCCTTAGGCCAGAGCTGAGCTAATCTGTGCCTTCCTGCCATCTGCAGACCATGAAAGCGCATGACGTCAAGAACATCGTGTTCAGCAGTTCGGCCACCGTCTATGGAGACCCTGCCTATCTCCCCCTTGACGAGAAGCATCCGGTGGGAGGCTGCACCAACCCTTATGGCAAATCCAAATACTTCATTGAAGAAATGATCCAAGACTTGTGCAAGGCAGAACCGGTAAGGCAGCAGAATTACACCCAGGGACACCCAGTGCCTTTTGGGCAGAGCTCGGCTCCACATGTGCTCATGCTTCTCTCTGTACGCCTTCTCCCAGGACTGGAACGCTGTACTCTTGCGATATTTCAACCCCATTGGAGCTCACAAGTCAGGAAGAATAGGAGAAGACCCCCAGGGGATCCCAAACAACCTGATGCCCTACGTTGCACAGGTACAAAGCCAGCCCCCAGGTGTTCCTTCTGCTCCACTGTGAGTTAAAATTTCCTTATAAGCTCCTCTGTCTTTGTCCTCTTTTCTTCCTTGGTCTGCTCCAGGTGGCTGTGGGGCGAAGAGAGTACCTGAGCGTCTTTGGTAATGACTATAACACAGTAGATGGGACCGGTAAGTTGTCCAAACTAATCTGAGCTTGCAAAGTCACTACTTCAGATCTGCCTGAACCACTGGCCTGGGGAGCTGAGCATGTAAAGCAGGAGGGAGGCATGTTTAGGGCTTTGAGGAGGCAATTTCCCATCTCTGGGCATTGGAATCAGATCACTTCCTCGTGAGGTTTGTGCTCGAGAGCGGCCTTTCCCTCTGTAAGGGTGTGGACCCGATTGTGTGGGTCCGCCCCCAGAGCCGGATGGATCCCGATGGATTCCTGAAGGACCTGGGGGAGTTTCCAGCTGACAAGACTGGTGCTCCTGTCGAAGCTCTGGTCAAACTATGGAATGGGGAAATGACCAGGGCTATTGACACGATCGCTCCTAAGCGTCCTCTCCCGCCGGGCAGAGCCCACTCTTCCCCTTGGTATACACCTGAATTGCAGGCGAGGAAGTGGGCTGGGAGACGTCTAGAGCGTAGGTGGTAGAAATCATGGGATGAATCTGACCGAACACACTTAAGAGCCCATTATCGGGCCTATGCTGTGGCGGTGAGGGCGGCAAAAAAGAAATTATCCTCCGTTTCCATTGCCTCCTCACAATGCCGTCCGTCAGAGCTTTTTCGGGTGGTACAAGGCCTGGTTCATCCTGGCCCTAAGAAAGATCTGGTTCCACCTTCGAAGGCCCGCTGTGACGACTTTGCCAAGCATTTCAGGGAGAAAATTGCTCAGATTTGTCACAAGCTGGACTCCACTAGTGACTCAGAGGCTTCTGGGGAGATACCAATGTTGCCGTCTGGTCCAGAATTGATGGATGAATTTCAGTTACTGCGGCCTGATGATGTGGACAAGGTGCTTGGACGAGTACGTCCCACCACTTGCCTATTGGACCCTTGCCCATCTTGGCTAATTAACAATGCCAAGCACAGGATAGGGACCTGGATCTTGGAAGTGGTCAACGCCTCTCTGAGGGAGGGCCGGGTACCTGCCCCTTTAAAGGAGACAGTAGTTCGACCGGTCCTGAAGAAGGCATCACTGGATCCAGAGATGGCCACTAATTATAGACCAGTGGCCAATATCCTGTTTCTGGGCAAGGTGTGGGAGCGGGTGGTGGCGGGACAACTCCAAGTACTCTTGGATGAAACTGATTATCTGGACCCATTTCAGTCCGGCTTCAGACCCGGGTACGGTACTGAATCTGCCTTGGTCGCCCTGTACGATGACCTGTGCAGGGAGAAAGACAGGGGGAGTGTGTCTCTGTTGGTTCTCCTGGACCTCTCAGCGGCTTTCAATACCATCAACCATAGTATCCTTCTGGATAGGCTTGTGGGACTGAGAGTTGGAGGCACTGCTTTGCAGTGGTTCCACTCCTATCTCAATGGCTGATTCCAGAAGGTGGTGCTGGGGGACTATGGCTCTGCGCCATGGCAGCTATGCCATGGAGTACCGCAGGGATCCATTTTGTCTCCTTTCTATTTAACATCTACATGAAACCACTGGGAGAGGTCATCAGGAGGTGTGGGCTGCGGAATCATCAGTACGCTGATGATACCCAGCTCTACCTCTCGTTCTCTACCAATCCAGGTGAGGCAGTGGCTGTACTGAACCGGTACCTGGCCAAGGTAATGGGCTGGATGAGGGCCAGTAAACTGAAGCTCAGTCCAGACAAGATGGAGGTCCTGTTGGTTGATCAGGCTTCGGGGAAGGGGACCTGAACTTAGTCCTGAATGGGGTTGCACTCCCTCTTAGGGACAAGGTCCGCATCTTGGGAGTGCTCCTCGACCCAGAGCTTTCACTGGAAGCTCAGGTGACGGCAGTGGCAAGGAGCGCTTTCTTTCAGCTTCGGCTGATCCATCAGCTGCGTCCCTACCTGGAGAACGACTGCCTGATGACAGTAACACACACGTTGGTGACTTCCTGACTTGACTTCTGTAATGTGCTCTACATGGGGCTGCCCTTGAAGATGGTCCAGATACTTCAATTGGTTCAAAATAGAACTGCCAGGCTGCTGACGGGGACTGGGCATTACGTTCACATGACTCCAGTTCTCCGTCAGCTTCCCCATTGAAGCTGGGCCCAATTCAAGGTGTTGGTTATGACCAATAAAGCCCTTAATGGCTTGGGTCCTGGTTACCTGAAGGAGCACTTACGTCCATATATGCCCGCCCGCCCACCCCTTGAGATCTGCGGGAGAGGCCCTTCTCCAGGAACCCTCCGTGAAGGATATTAGGAGGGTGAGTACCCAGAGGAGGGCTTTCTCTGCGGTGGCGCCCAATCTATGGAATGCGCTCCCCAGAGAGGTCCACTTGGCGCTGTCGTTATTCGTTTTTCGGCACCAGGCGAAGACCTTTTTATTTAAACTTCATTTTAATTGTTAATTTAATTGTTAATATTATTTATTTATTTTATATCCTTGGCCAGGTCGACTCAAATTATATTGTTTTTATATTGTGATTATTTATTAATGTGAACCGCGCCGAGGCTTCGGCGAATGGGGCGGCATAGAAGCTTCCTAAATAAATAAATAAAAAGGGGTGTTTCTTTCAAACAAGGGCTTGCTGCTTAATCTTAGCAGCAGTTTTCAGCAATGGGTGCCATACTGGGGGCCTCAGGAACAGCCAGGGAGAGTGACAAGCAGGCTGTAAGCTGCATGCCCATGGAAGGGCAGGCATGGGTAGAGTCTGCTGGGTACAATGGCTGTGTTTAGAAGCATAGGAATGGAGTGAGTCAGAAGGGGTCTCCTGGGTCATCGAGTCGGACCCTCCAGCTCCAGCCAGCTCCGCTCATGACATGCCTAGCACGTGCATGTCCAGTAATTCACCTCCTGAGGTTCTCAATCTCATCCTCGCAACAACAGCCCTGTGCAGTAGGTTGAGCTGAGTCTGTGGGTGGCCCAGTCACCCAGTGAGCTCCATGGCTGAGCAGGGAGTGGAGCCCAGATCTCCCGAGTCCTAGCCCCGCGCTCTCAGCCACTGCGCCACACTGGCTTCCTCTGACGCTCTCCTGCTGGTGATACCGTGGTCCAGACTGTCCCAGGGGGATGCTGGGAGTGGCGATCCGGAGCCCAGCAGCGTGGCGCAGGCACTGGCTGACTGCCTTCTCTTGCAGGGGTTCGGGATTACATCCACGTGGTAGACCTTGCCAAGGGCCACATTGCTGCACTGAAGAAGCTCAAGGAGAACTGTGGCTGTAAGGTAGGGAAGCCTACAGCTGACCACAAGCCTTGCCTAAATCCGGGCTTATGAAGAGCCAGGCGAGAGTCCATCAGGGCCCACCATTCTGTCCACACACAGGGCTGCCTGTACGCAAACGGCCACCCCATTTACCCAGTGGCTAGTGAACAGAAGCGAGGTAGCATGCTGGCAGCAGGACTGGTAGCCATGGCTAGCCGCCGCCGCCAGAATTTGCCCAGTCCCCTTTGTCTTCATGAATTCGTCCAGCCATCCAACTTGGCGACCAGCACCGTATCTGAGGGAAGTGAATTCCATGGTTATTGTTCACAAACTGCTGTGTGCAGAAGTACTTCCTTTTCTCTTTCCTGACTCTCCCCCGGCCCCCACCCATCCATTTCATGGGAGGACTCCGCTGTGCTTTCTCCATGCCATGCAGAATTCTGCACATGCTTCAGTTCTTCTTGCAGATTCCGGAGTCTCTTCCTAATTGCTTCAGTGGGGCCTGTACAGGAGACATGCTCAGTGCAAGCTGGGTCCTGCACATGCTGGCCAACACCCTGTGCTAAGAAAACCTAGATTCTGTGACCCTGAATATTAGGAACATTGGCAAGCTCTATTTTGCATCATTTATCCTACAGCCGTTGCACCAGTTTATTTTTTAAACTAAGGAGAAGCTGCAAGGAGCTATGTTGGGTGCTGAAGTTCCACCTCGAACCACTGAAAAACTTTTCCCGATTCTGAGACTTCAGCAGATTCTACCCACATTGGTTCCAAGCACACCTTTGCCAGCACCCAAGGCTAGGAATATTTTTCTTTTCTTGTCTTAACTGAAAGATTAATTCTGCAATTACTCTGTGCTCCTACAGAACCACAATGTATGTCCAGCAGTGCGTCAATCCCATTGATCCCAAACTTTGGTTACTTGCACAGGGCAGGTGACTGTTCTCCCTGGGTACACACCTCACCAGCTCTACCTTTCCAGACACCCCATGGGCACAAGAGAGATTTGGGGCAAGTGGCAGCTGGCAGGGTGATTTTGTGGGCTGTTAAATTGGCAATATAGTTAATATCTGATCATACAGAGTAGAGGCAGTGCTTGGACTCTTAAGGGCAACACCACAATGCCAAACTGACAAATGTAATCCCCATGGTCTTGATAAGAATTCTGTGGGTTTCAGGATTTTTGTATTTCAGATAAGCAAGTCCTCATCTCGTAGTCTTTAATGTTCACCCCCAAGTTTTTGGCTGCTCAGCAGACCTCATTCTCTCCATCCTTTCTATCTAGCTCCCCACCTCTGTGTCACACAGGTACTCTGCGTAGGAAGAACACACTGCCTGGTCCAGCCTAAGGCTAGGGGGCTAAATTTCAGCACAACTCTTGGAGGACTTAAGGTGGAAGGAGGGAGGCAAATAACAGCATCCTGTAGGTTAAACCCCTCCCTGCCAATTACTGTCTCAGCAAAGGCTTCCTGGTGGTCTTATCAGAGGGAAAGTGCACAAATGTTGGGAAAACAGCAAGTGATTGGTCAGGGGAAAGGGGAAGGGCTAGCCTTCAAATCCCCCCCCCCCCTTGGATTGTTGCTGGCTGTGTAGGAAAGCACAATAATGGGACAACTTCTTAAGCAAAGGTTTCATCCTTGCAGATCTACAACCTTGGAACTGGCACTGGCTACTCAGTCCTGCAGATGGTTAAAGCCATGGAGAAGGCATCTGGCAGGCAGGTAAGAGAAACAAACCAGCCATGGCGGGGCTGGGGGCGAGCGTTAATTCTTGCTGGAATTGGGAGGGTAAGATGCCACCAGCTGACCAACCCTCTGAACACTAGATGTGACCTTGGTCAACATTCCCGTCTGGTGCCCTCCAGGATGTTGTGGCAGGAGGTAATGGGGTGTGGAGGAAGTCTGGCCTTCTAGTATGTATCCTTGGCATCCTTTGAAGCCCAAGCTACACGCAGTCAGTTTCCTGTGACTTTTCAGTAGGTGGATTTTCTCTTCTCTAGATCAACTACAAGATCAGTGCACGCCGGGAAGGGGATGTGGCCTCCTGCTATGCCAACCCTGGCCTAGCTGCACAAGAACTAGGCTGGAAAGCTGTCTTTGGCCTGGACAAAATGTGTAAGTAGAACCTCCCTGGCATGCGCCTCATCCTTGCTCCCTTTTCCCAGGGGGCAGGAGTAGAGCTCTCTTGCTTGCTGCCACTGTTTGCATGGAAGGCAGCCAGGCGCCTGCACCAACACACCCGGAATGACACGTCCACCCTCCGGCTTTTCAGGCGAGGACTTGTGGAGGTGGCAGCTGCAGAACCCCACTGGCTTCAGCAAGAACTAGCCCTGGAAGATGGACGCTTTTGCACCAGAGCAGCTCCAGGGACTGGTGCCCTTTGCACTCAGGGAAGGCGATTCCTCCTCGTTCTGTTTCCTCCTCCTCTCCCCATTTCATGATGGCCACAGAGGCGACACTGGGAAAGGGGAAGCCTCTCCTGCCTCATGCTCCTTAGCCCACTGCCTCCCACTTCAGACACGTCTGCAGGCCAGCTAAGTCAAGCACATGGAGCCGAGACCCACCCACCCAGTGGGAGGACCAAGAAGCGTCCCTGGGCAGAATGCCCTGTGCCGCTCCTGCCGTTCCCAGCCACTGCCACCACCAGGCACCAGGCCTCTGCTGCCGGTTCTCTGGCTCTTGAGGCCTTGGGACGGCAGGGAGATGCAACCTGAGGGCCCGGCTGCCAGAAAGAGGGCATGGATGTTAATGGGGTTACAAAACTGCACCCAGGGCCTTCTGGGCCTTGGTCAGCCGCTCCTCAGTTGTTTCATTCCTGGGAGGCTTTTTAATGTAAATGATAAGATAGCAATGGGAATTAAGTGCATCCATCTCTAAGCTGCACAAGCTATAAACGGTGAAACTTCATGCAAGAATCCCATGAGGTTGGTTCTTCTTAAAGGTGTGGGGTGGAGACAGGCAACTGAAGGCTGGGGCTCTTCTGTGCTGCTGTTTAGGATGTGATGGACACTGACAGAGAAAAATAGCAGTGGGAAGGCAGTGTTTTTGGAGGCATTTCATCCACTCTGGAAGAGGCAGCCCAAGTCAGTTGAGCTTGTAACATTTTAGGCTGGACCCATACACCTGGTGAAAAAGATTGGTGGAAATACTTGCAACTGCATATTACTAGAGCAACTTGTCTGGGCATTTTCCTACCAGGTCGGTGGAGAGGAGAGGAAGAGGCACAGGTAGTCTGGAAAGAGCCAGCCAACCAATCCGTAAAAGTAGCCCATGGCTAAAGGTCAGCTCCAGGTTTATCAGTGAGGATTAAGGCTGATGCTGTGTTTTGGTGCTACAGACATCAGCCACCCACTTGATTAACAGCAGTGGAAGCTCAAGCTGTTGTAGTCCCAGATGGCTGCACGCCAACTCACTGCTTCAGGGCAATGTGACTGCTCACCTCTCACTTAGTAAAATTACTTTCTATACTTAGTCCTGTAGAAAACAGGCCAACAGATGCAGAGCCAGGATTGGCTTGCTGCAATGACCCCCCCCCCCCTGCTCTGCTGTTACCTGCCCAAACTGTTCGCAAGCCTTTGATTAGTGCCAGAATTCTGACCACCATGCTGTAGAAAGACAATCTCAGCACAGCAGGGCTGACAGGGTTGCTTCCCTTGCTTGCAGGCAGGCCTGCATTACTGTCGCAGCATGAATGCATCAGGGAGTGGGAAGCCACTGGGTTCAGGGGAAAGCTGTACCTGCCTGACCAGCAAGCACTTTGGGGCAGAAGCCTGCCTAATTCTGGACCTTGACTAGACAGTGCTTATGTTGCAGTTTCTTCTTGAGAGGAAGATTGGATTCTTTCTGGTCTTTAATTTTAAAAAAACCACTGCTCCATTTTGCGCCCACTGCTCCATTACTCGGAGTCTGCGCTTGGGCCAGTGGGCTGACGCCAGTAGCTCAAGGCCACCACCTGAAATCCCATACTTGGTCCAGAGGGCCCAGGTGGTGAACTTCTAAAACAGCCTCCAGAAGACCTCCTGCCCATAGGAAACTCTCAGGAAGTGGGAAATGCAGGATCCAAATTTATTAGCCAGCCTTGCAGACCTTTGCACCGTAGGCACACGGAGCTCGGAAAGTTTGTTTTTAAGCATAGGGTACTTTCAGTGCCTGCCCCTCCACTATGAGGTATGTGTGGACTTGCGAGGGATTTTCTCTAACAGTGCATGTGTGTGCAGCCTAGTGGCAGTAATAGCACTTTGTGGTGAATGTACATGATGCGGTATGTTCCTAGCATGATGGAATGGGTGAGACCACATCGACACCATTGAAGCAGTGTTGGGTGTGTCTTTTAAGACCAGGTTTAAAATTTGCATTAAAATGCTTTTTCATTTGAGGATGAATGAACTTCAGTTTTGAGCATATATTAAAAGAGAAATGACAAATGCATGTTAAAATGTTGTGCGAGTGTATCAAAACATACAGGCCTGGCCATAGCAAAAATGAGATGCATCTGTAAGTAGTGAAGTGGCCAAGTTTGCTGATGACACTAAACTATTTAAGGGCACTGAACGCCAAAAGGGATTGTAAGGAGCTCTAAAGGGATCTCACCAAGCTGGGGGAATGGGCATCAAATCCCAACTTCAGGTATCAACTGATGGAGTCTAAGCTAGCAGGGACTGAGCGAGAAATGGAACTTGGGGTAGCAGTGGGCAGGTTGATGAAAATGCTGGCCCAGTGCCCAGCTGCTGTGAAGAATAGAAAATAATCATTAACATTTCTATACTGCCTATAATGAAAGCTCTCTGGGTGGTTCACAACATTGCTGCCCATCCAGCTTTCAGCCCTCCCCAACCCTACTTCGCTTTCAAGATTAGGCAGGATCAGGCACTTGGGGCAATATCGAAGCTCTAGAGCTATATGAAGTTGTTGATGTTGTTAGTTGCAAATTCGTGCCCGACCCATCGCGACCCCATGGACAACATTCCTCCAGGTCTTCCTGTCCTCCCCCATACTGCCAAAATCTTTCTGCCCTTATACAAATCTTTGGAATGACTACACTTGGAATATTGTGTTCAGTTATGGCCACCTTAGTGGAAAAAGGACATCACTGAGCAGGAAAAAGTGCTGAGAAGAGCAAGAAAAATGATCCAGAGAGTGGAGCGGCTCCCCTGTGAGAAGTTGCTACAACAACTGGAACTGTTTAGCTTAGGGGAGACATGATAGAGGTTTTTAAAATAATGCATAGTGTGGACAAAGTAGGGAAGGAAGAATTTTTCTCCTCCCATAATACTTGACCCTGGGGTCATCCAGTGAAGCTGAATGGTGGCAAGTTTACCACAGATAAAAGGAAGTACTTCACACAGTGCATAGTTGAACTATGGAATTGCTGCCACAGGAAGTGGCGATGGCCACCAGAGTGGGGGGTTTTAAAAGGAGGATGGACAGATTCATGAGCGGGGAGGCTATTGGTGGCTGCTTAGCCTTGTGGGCTATGTGCCCCCTTCCTTCACCAGAGGGGGTGCCTGCATGCACCAGTTACTGAGGTCTTGCACCCATCCTCCTGGAAAGATTCTGTGGGTGGCTGGCTTGCCACTGTGAGCACAAAGTGCTGGACTAGACAGATTTCTGGTCTGAGCCAGCAGGGCTTTTCTTATGCTCTTATCTCAGAACCATACCTCTTCAAGAGAGCAGTGCTAAGGTGATGCACACCTGCAGGGGTTCTGCTGGTGCTGTTAGTGCTGCATGATCTCAAGAGATGGAAGACCACAGAGAAAAAGCATGTGAGCAGCAATCTGGTAAGCCACCCCACACAGATTATGTTATGCTAGAAACACCGAATGAATATTTACACTTTCTACGTCACGGACTCTTTGGGTCTAGCTTGGGAAACTCACTTTCCAAATTCCAGGTGCCGAATGTCACTTCTTGGGTAGGCTGCCTTAGGCAAGTCCCTCTTTCCAAAGCTCTTTCCAGAGGAACAGCAACTCCCCACACGGATCCTTCCCAAGAGTGAAAAAGGCGCTGCACACACTTAACTGCAGGGGAAACAGGCATGTCTTGAGACGATGCTGAAGAAACACGGTGAGGCGCTGATGGTTGTGTTTATTTTAAACTCAGCTGAACCCAAACGTAAAAATGATGGATGGGAAAGACAAAAGGGGAGGCGAGGAAGGGAGGGGAGAGAGAAGCCAGAGTCATGGGCAGGAATAAAGCAGCCACCAACTTCCTTGGACTTCCCTATTTTCAATACATTCCCTACAGAGATACCCATGACTTGCAGGCCACTGTGGCAACTGCTTTGAGAAGGAGCCAAACAAAATGGAGCCGGCAGCGGCAGCAATCTGAGCACTTCTCGGTCCAGCCAATATGCAGAACCACCCAACTCATGAATGGAAGAGGGGAAAGGCTGCAGCGAGCCACAGGAGGACACTGGTCTCCCATATATGCCTGCCCGCACTCACTTTGCAGAAAAGAGGCCACAGGCCAGGCCTAGACAGACACAGCTGAACACAGCAAGAAGGTCCAAGTGGGCCGTGCCACTTACAGCTGCATATATGATTACAATGCTGCATCTCTCAGCAGTCCCTATGGAAGACCCTTCCCCTCCCTTGCTCCTGTAGAAAAGCAGCATTTGGGGAAGCTTGGGCTAGGACCTCTTTGGTCAGCTGTTCAATTTTACTTGCAGGGATTTTTATCTAAATGTAGGGAACCCTTCAGAAAAGGCGCATGTACATCTTGCAGCCATCAAGTGGTACCATTCGCCAAACCACCGCAGGATTTTATTCCCTGCACAAGCAAGACCAGGTCCACTTTGTTCGCCCACTGGCATGGCCAAGTGTAAAGCAGAAAGGGGGCAAGGGAACCCCCCAAGTGGCAAGCAAGAGGCAGTTTTGCTGTTTAAGCAGATCCTGTCACATCAGATTGCAAAAAGGTTACTGCTTTCTGCCTCTCTGACGATGACACAGATGACGTACTAAGCGTTCCAGCCCAGCGATCCGCACAGCTGCCTCTTCCTGCTTGTGAATGCAAGCAGTTCTGGCACCCAGCCAGCTCTCTCGCCCAGGCTGGGGTCCAAGCTGGGAAGTGCCAGCAGCCTGGAGCAGCCGTCAGCTGCCAACTTGGGAAGTGGCTGGCAACCTCTCCCTGTGCCAATGATGAGTAGCCCTGCATTGGAGGCCAAGTTCAATCTCATCTCATTCTTCCCAAGAGTGACTCAATTGCCGCTTCAGGGGCGAACAGGACAGCAGGATGTAGAGCCGTGCCCCCGCCAGGCTATCTTGATCCGCTGAAAGCCCCATAAGCAGTGGGACATATTGTGGCTCAGGAAGGACGACTGCCCATTCCAGGGCAGGCTATGGACACAGCCCTTTGCTGGGCCTTGCTCTGTCTCACAAGAAGAGCAGGGAGTAGCGGGGGGACTCTATTCCCCCATGGCCCCAGGACTCCTGCTGCAGCCGCCACTTCTCAACAGGGACGACGGAGGGAGCAGGGGAAGGGTGTGAGGCAGCATGATCCACACAAGGAGCAAGAAGCTAGAAGAAAACAGGAGGCTGTACTAGTCCTTCACCAAAAGAAGAAAAGAGAAGGTGCAGGAAAGGTACTTTAGAAAACACTTCCTGCCCCCCTTCTGGGGGCTCACTAGAAGGGAAGGCGTGGGGGGGGGGGTAAAGACCACCTTTGCTGATCAACAGCACAGCTCCCTGCTGGAAATGGCGATGCCAGCCCAGCCCCTGGGCAGGGGAGAGGCCATGTGGCAAAGCAGAGATTCTGGGAGCTGCCTCAAAAAGCGCCAGCCGCCAGGGCTAGGTGGGAGCGCAGGGTTCAGCAGGTTCCACTACCAGACAAGGAGATGCTCTCTGGGAGGCTGCAGATGCTTCACAGAGATAAGGAGATGCTCTCTGGGAGGCTGCAGATGCTTCACAGAGATAAGGGAAGCACAAGCGGGCTCCTCTAGGCCATGAGTCACACATCATCTGAGGCACAGTCTCCACTGCAAGAGGAGCCACTGGCCCTCAGCACGGGTGCTTCGGTGACCCCTGCAATGAACAGGAGGCTGCTGTCCCCACTCCCTTGAACTCTGCCATGTCTGCATAGTGATAGAGTCAGACAGACTGGTACATGGAGGACACACAAGCAGAGATGATAGCAAAAGGAACAAAAGGAGTTTTTAAAAAATATACAACAGTGAAGAATTCCTGGTGAGGCAGGCTGCCCCTCTGCCACATCTGTGACCCAACCAACTCCTGCATGTTGGGAGGGCTGAGCACGCGCTGAATGGCGACAGCAGCCGACAATGCCGAGGGGATATGGGAGGAGCACGCAAGGTACAGAACGCTGTGGAACGATTATCTTGTGGGCAGAAGCTGTTTCTTCCTGCTTCCCCGGTGTAGAGAAAGTGGAACATCAGCGGCATGGAAGGGAGCCTCGACCCTGCCTGTGCCAGTAAGGCTGCTCCAGGGGGATGATGCATGGATAGCCAATCAATCAGGGACCTCACAGGCACTCCCATAAAATACTGTAACAGCACAGAACACCATCTCGTAATACCTTTGATCTAAACCTATGGCTGTCACCCAGTTCAGTGCCACAGTGAGGGTGCGTGTGTTCGGGGGTTGGGAGAAAAGGGAGGGCAGGGAAAGACTGAAATCAGGTGGCCAAAATACTAATCGGCAAGGAGGCGGCCACGCTGGCATCTCAGCTGTACCTTAAAACTGCTGCGTACCTTCACTCCCCCTACAGGAAAGAGGGGCACCCCTCACTTGGCACACGAGGGGTCGGTGCAGGAGGAAGGGGGAGGCCAGAGAAAGGAAGCCGGAGGGAGTGAAGGAGGGTTGCCATGGCTTCCGTCTGCAGCTGACAGGTTAACGATCGTAGGTGGTGGCCACTTGTCTCCTCTCCCGGCAACAGTCTTAAGCAGCTCTGCTTTAAATCCTGGGCAGAAGCGTCTCGATGAATTCTTTCACAGCCATCATCTCCTGCGCAGAATGCAAGAGGAGGAGTGTCATTTACACCCAGAGGCCAAGGCAAGAAGGCCTACCCAGTCTCCAGGACAGAGAACAGACCCAAAGCACTGGCCCATGGCAACCCCATAAATGGGCTCAGGAATTGCAAACTTCTCCATGTCCCAAGGAGGGTGAGAAAAGTTATTTAAGGGGAACAAAGATCCAAAAAAATACGTAATTAAGAACTCAGCAGCTCATGAGTCCAGAAAAACAACCTGGTCCATTTTCCTTCTACATATGCTGTGCAGAAAAAAACAATTAACAGCAACATTTCATGGTACTTTAAAGACAGGTGAATAAGGACAGACAAAAACTTTGGCATCAGCTGTGACAGACTGTAGCCTGCTCTCAGATGCATCTGACAAAAGGTTGATGTTGGTGATGTATTTGCTGACCTTTTAAGGTGCCAAAAGGACACACTGCTGTTTTTCCTAGTACAGACTAACACTGCTACCTCTTTGGGATTATTCAGTGTTTGGTTTTTTAAACCCACCACATAATCTACTTAAAACAATGAACTGCAGCTGCATAGAAACATAGAAAACAGAGCGAGTCAGAAGGGGTCTCCCGGGCCATCTAGTCTGACCTCTGGCACCAGCTGGCTCCGCTCACGACATGCCCACCATGTGGACGTCCAGCCTATCCTTGAACATTGCAAGCTGACTTTAAAACCCTGCAAATACAACTAGCAAATCAGCCACTGGAGGGTGACAGGTGTGAACTGTGATCTTAACAAGCTGCAGAGCACATGGTATGATTCGGGAGTCATGGCAGAGAATACGGAATAAGAAGGGGCCATGACAAAGAATGCCTCCTGCTTCTGGCTGCTATCAGCCCAACCTCTGAAGAGTGAGCCAACAGGAACAAGGCTAGGAACAACAGGAGTGAGCCAACAGGAACAACAACATTTCTAAAAGTAGGGTGTAGAGCAGGATGCGCAACTTGGCTGATCCAGGAACTAATTTCCTCCTCCTGGGGGGCTGCACCCTCTGCACTGCCAAAATGGGCGGAAAGCCCCTACAATTTTCCTTGGAAAAAAAGGCATGTGGAGAGTCCACTGTTTGTTCTCAGGAAAAATCATGTCCAGGGGTAGCTTACAGGAATATAATTCTGTTTACAAATAGGATACATTTCCTTGTTTGAAAAGAAAACAGCCCCATTTTTCAGTTGCCTGTGGCCAAATTTCTGTGGTAGTAAAGCCTGCAGAAAGGCTGTTCCTGGGCAGGGATGCCTGAGGTCCACATTGCCCACCACCACCACCACCACATGCAACCTGCCCTTTTCCTTCTTGTGGGGAACCCATGGAGGCTTACATGCCTCCTATTTATCCTCACAACCACCACCCTGTGAAGTAGGCTGGGCTGAGAGTCTGCGGCTGATCCAAAGCCATCTGGTGAGCTTCATGGCCAGGTGGGGACTAGAACCTGGACCTCCCAGGTCCACAGTCCAGTATTCCACACCACACCATGGCTGCTCTCGAAACGCAGAGAACTTATGAGAGAGAGGACACTCCACCTCAGTCTCCCAGCACGTGCCCAGCTGCAGCAGGCCTCAACTGGGGGAAGCGCCACTCGGCCAGGTGGCCCAGGACGGGCACTTGGCAGCTACCGACTAACCTGTGGGCAAGAGCTGTGCATCACTCCTGGGTAGGTTCTGAACTGCACCCTGCTTGGGGTCACGACACCCTTCAGCTTCTCTGCCGTGAGCGCGCCGAATCGCACTGGGATCATGGGGTCCATCTCTCCGTGGCACTGCAGGATAGGGGTGTCTTTGTTCATGCTGTTAGTTGCTGCCTGCAACAGTAAGCCAATAAACACAACACCCTCTTCATTTCTGTCCGGTGATGACATCTCTATGCCCCCCCCAACTGCCAAAGTGGTCTGGGTGGCTTACAAAGGTCAAAACTGTAGGAACACATTACAAAAGCCATTCACAGGCAGACACCACCACACCAAGGACACCCAAAGGCCGAAAGAGTTTTCAACATAAGAAAGATCCAGGACCTGATTCAAGCCAGTGCCAATCACCTAAGAGGAGGAGGCCTTAAACTGGTGCTGGCAATGGGGGGGGGTTCTTCCTGGGGGGATCATTCCATGACTAAGGGACAACAGCTAAGAAGCCCTCTCCTTTATGCTGCTTTCCAAGCCTCGTTCAGAGTGGTGAACAGAACAGATGGATGGTTCATGCTGGTAGAGGAATTCCAGTGGATACTGCAGCCCTGAATCCCATGCATTCTTATGGGTCAAAACCAACATGCTGAACCAGGCAGGCAGTGCAATCAGCCTAGACTTGGCATTGTATGTCCAGACCTGCGGCCCATTATCCATCTGGCCACTGGATGTTCCATGACCTGCAGCTTCAGAACAGCCTTCAAAGGCAGTCTCCTGTGGAGGGCCTTGCAGGAATCTAACAGACCATGAAGCCAGTTCACCCCTATCCAAATAATAAGCAGCAGCAAATTGTGCATTCTGGGAAGTGAAAGAGCAAGACCTTGCACTCTGAGAAACATGACCTCTGTTGGGGTTATTATGGCAGAACAGCCTCGCTGGACAGCCACCCAGGCACAGCTCCACCCAGAGGACAACAGCAATTCAGAAAGAGGACTAATACCACCATACCTGAGGAAAGCTCTTGTGCAGGGGGAGCCAGCAGCTGAGGGCCACAATGCCAGCCAACTGGTACGGGGAGGTGAGTGCCGTGTAGAGAGATAGCGCACCACCCTGGAGTGCAACCGTGAAGAGAGAAGAGGTCAGAGCTTGCACTCAAGAGGACACAAACGTCTGCTGCATGCCCTGCGTGCTCCCAAAGACACAGCCTTTGCCAGTCCTCCGAAGACAACACTTTTACGAAATGCTCAGCAGATGCACACTACACGCATCCTCCAGCAGAGGCCATGCTCCGCACACACAGCACACAAACATCACTCCTCATCCCAGTTAACTGCCTGGTAAAGAGCCAAACTGCAAAAATAAAGAGCCCCAATTCTACTGCTTGAATATTTTATACACACATTTCAAATGTTACTGCTTGTGAGAAGGACACTCAGAATAATTTGCTAGCAGGCTGAAGAGCCACTCCAGATGCCCTGTTGCGTCCCAGCCTGCCACTGGCTTACACGATCTTAAGACATTGCCCCAGAGTGAGTGAGCAATTCTGCACAGCCACAAGAGCTAGTCACTGGTTTTAAAGGGGAAAATCAAACACATTCAGGATGCCACATCCCCTGCCAGCTCCTTCATGTAGTACTTTGGGCTCTGACTGTGGCGCACCTCCTTAAACAAAATGTGCACATCCCCAACAAAGGCCCCCGAAGAAGCAGGACATCTCCATTTCTCACCTCAAAGTGAGGTGGGAACAGCCATTTTTGCAGGTAACCCACCTGTGCTCTGCTTCTATTGCTAGCCCTGCTGTCCACACACACAGGGAAGCCCCTTCCGGCTGCCTGCCCTCCACTCACCTGTGAAAAGCCTCCCAGGATAATACGGTTGGCCGGGATTCCATTCTTTATTTCATGCTCAATTACTGCTTTAACTGGAATGCAGAGACAGAAAGAAAGAGACAGCGTAAGTTCATGGCGGTACAATATCACAGGCCTTGCACTCAGTGCCGAAAGCTATGCCATCAACCCAATCTTGAGAACAGCTCACTAACAGAGATTTTGCAGAGTTTACTCTGCGTAAAAACTGCATTTCAAAAAGAGCTTAATTCTTTTCTCTGCTTAGCCAGGCATGGCAGAGATCAAGAGGAAAGGCTGGGACGTCGCACACCACATTGTGGCGAGTAGCATGTGGGAATTGTGCATTTGATGAGCTTGGCTCTGTGCCATCAAAGCTGATGCCACAAAGGAGGCATTTGCCTTGAAGCTGCCAAAGGCCGTAGGTTTAACTGTGATGGATTAACACAGCTGTCACTCTGGAATCTGCAGCTAGGTTAGAGCCACTGAAGTGAGCATCCAGGTCACGGGCTTGCCAATTTGCAGTCTCTGATGCACCAAAGAAAGCAGGCTGACACTTCCCTCCAGCACCCAGAAACGACTGCTATTTCTTCCACATCAGAACGTGCCATGAAGGCAGATGCAGCTGAAGTGCAAGATGTATGCAAAACAAGGGCTGGCACTGGGCGCAGAGTTCCCTCCTGAGCCTCCTTCCCAATGGAGCAAATTCTCTCCGCTTCACCTCTGCTTAGCAACATTAATCAACACTGGCCACAGGGCAGGTGGTGAAGCTCAGCTGATGTGCAGTGCTTTGTACAGAGATGCTCCCAGCTTTCCAACGCTGGCATTTCCTGGTAAAACTGGGAAATCCTTCTGCCTGCAGCACTGAACTAAGGCCCTGGCCGTATAAAGTGGGGGTGCCACGCCTCCGTCCAGAGACAAACCAGCTGTTCAGGATTCCCAGATGGCCATTCACCAGCACAATTGTTTGGTGGTTCCCTGGCTCATCTGCAGTATCTCCCACATTCCAAAAGGCTGAAATTGTTTCTTAAGGCTGACTGACTGGCAATAAGAGCTTGCAGGGAAAATATGCTGACTGGGGAAGGGGGGCAGTCTTGGCCCTGTCCCTTCATCTGCGGCTCTGCCCACAAATGCCACGTGGCCCAGAGAGTATCTCCAAAACTGAATCCCTTTGGACTGAAAGCAGCTCTTGGATTTTGTGTTACAAGTGCACAATGCAAGTTCTGGCAACTATCATCAGATTCCCTCCCAAACCTGGCTTTACATAGGAACTATGACCTGCATGGTTGCAAATGCAGTAACTCAATGGTTAATTCTGGCAAGGGGAGGGAGAGATCCTCTTTGGAGAAAGTGGGATTGCATGTTCCTCACAATGGCTCGTGCTATGCAAAGCAGAATCTGCAGGGAACGGAATAACATCTACGCCAGTCGAAGTGAAGATTTTGTTTCCATGCATTCAGAATGTAAAATCTCCAACCATCTCACTGGTTTTACTACCCACAAGAGTTAGGAAGTCACATTTCTGAGCAAGGACTACAAGAAGGGGCAGGTGCTCTTTATTACTCCAAGAGAGAAACCCAAATGTTTCTGCTATAGTTATGATTCAGAGAAATATAAGCCAATTTTCAAGCTGTCCCAGAAAAGCTTCTCTTACTATTCTCAGCTGCTTTTTTGATTCCAGTTTCATCCTCAGGTGCATCTGGACTTAGGCCCATCAGATCAAACCTGGAAGGGAGGAAGTCAAAAGTCAGCCCCAGCAATCTCCCCACTTGGGACCAGGCAAATAAGCAGAGGGAGGGCTTGTTATGCAGTGGTGGCATCTGACCAAGTGCTGTTGTCTGAAAGATTCATAGAACTGACCAAAGGAATACTCCACTAACACTGTTAAGATGAAGGTGGGGAGGCTTCTACCTCTGACTCAGGAGCAGATACACAGGCATTCACTTTGACAGGTCTTGGCAGAGAGGCAGCTTAGTGCCCTGCATTTTAATTAACAACACAAATGAATGTGACTGCCCAGAAAAGCAGCCAGAGCCAGTTGCTGCACACCCTTGTAAAAACTTGGTTTCCTCCAGATGTTTTGGGTGGCAACTCCCACCATTTCCAGCTAGTTCTTCTGCAAAAGCCAGGCAGGAAATAAGCATGTCCGCCCACTCCTGTGCACCACTGCCCTTTTCCAGGCCGAATGATGCAGGGGCTGCCAGGCTTGCAAACCACCTCATTGGGCCTACTCAGATGGAGTGAGGCACCACAGGCACTGCCTCTGCCATGGTATACCCCTGCAGCAGTGTGAGGGAGGGATCTGTCCACTTCCTTCCCAGACCCCTAGCCAACCCCACCACCTGTTAGTTTTGACATACAATGAGTGCCAAGTTATGTCCCACTTAGTGACTGAAGATGGTCCCATAGGCTTCACTTGCAGGCATGTTTACATTCATCAAAATCAATGCACTGTGAAAACCAAGTAAACTGAAAATGGGCTCCTGCAGGGCCTCCTTCAGATGCACGTCCAGTTTCAGGTGTCCAGATTTCCCACCTGCAGAGCTCAAGCACTGCCAGACAAATATCCTCCCTTATTATGGTAGGTGACAGGGCAGAGTAAGGAGGTGCATAGAACAGAAGACAGCCCAGGGCCACAGGAGGAAATGAAACACATCTGTCAGCCATTCAATTTTATACTAACCAGGATGGCATGACCATCTTCATGTTGAGGGTGACAGGGATCCTGGGCCTGCAGAGGAAAGAGAAGCACAGACCATCATAATCTAAGCAGGACCAAAAAGCACCTAACAAACCTGGACTCATCTTGCTGCATCAGGAGAAGCATCTCCTTCTTCTAAATGAAAATGGAGACTCTTAGATTTCAACTCTTGACAGCTGTGCACTAATTCTGCACTCATGTACAGCCTATCCTTCGGCATTACCCAAGTTTGGCTAATGCAGAAGCTCTCCTCAGACACCCACTGCTCTGGAAGGCAGGTGTGCAAAGAAACAAGTGGCAAAAATCTTTCCATAGGCACAATCTGCCCCCACCTCCCTTCTAAAACTGCAGACAGTCCCTCCTGGATCAGACAGTGTTTGGTGTGGTTGCCTAGCAGCCCACCCTGGGACCTGGACAGGTGGGGAATGAGATGCATCTGAGCTGAGTGCTTTTGCGGAAGAGTTCCCAAGAAATGGACAGCCTCTTCTGCACCTGCCAAGACAGGCCCAAGACTAGGGAGCTCCTCTCTATTACCACTCTGAGACACTTTAGTGGGCACAGAAGCTGCCTCAGAAGGGGCTGCAAGAAGAGTCATGGGTGCTCTCTAAGGTAAGGTGAAGGATGGGGCCAGGGAGGTGGAGGAGGGTGGTTAGCGGGCTCACAGCAGAGCAGTAACAGTTGCCATTGTTTATAAAGAAAGGAGCTGCATACAGATTCACTCCTGCCTGGAACAGACAACTACTTTCCATGGGTCTTCTCTACATGGGGCAGAACCTGGATCCAAGCCAGGAAGTAGAAGGACAAGGCAAGTGTTACTACAAAGCTCTTCTGGAGATGCTTTTGCCATCAGCCAGTTCAGGGGGTTACTGAAGAAAGGGAACTCATGCCTGCCCATCCCCTGTATATCAGCCTCCACTGTGCTTGCTTACAAGCTCTGGGGCCAGCATGCAAGAACCAGGCTTCTTGCAGTGGCCATAGCCTGGTCTGGGGAATGAGATGTTCCCAACTGGAGGGCTGCAGCTGAGCTGGGAGCTACTTGGCAGCTGCTAGTAGGCATTACGGATGGGGATAGAAGGCTAAGGCAGGCAGCCCTGCAAAATTAGGGTATGACACAACAGCACAGATAAAATTATTGATAAACTTCCTTTAAAGCACTTGGCAGAGATTATGCCTCAGGTGTATCCACCCCACAGCGTGCTTCTGAGCCTCCAGATTGTGGGCTAATTTGCTGAACTGTCTTGAATGTGTAAATAAATGAGACATCCCACCTTCTGAGTTCTGGCTCTCAGTCCTCTGACTGGCTGATTCAGCCTAAACTTTGAGCATTATGAGAGGGTGAGGAGTTGAGTACATGGGGGAATCCTGCTTTCCAGAACAGCATTAGCTAGCAAGATCTTCTGGACTCCTTCCATCACATGAGATTAGAAGATGAAGGATGTCACAAATAAGTGATGTATCATCTGGACACAGTTGGTGAGTCAGTGGGGAGGCTTGATTTCTGGCTTGGAAAAACCTGGCTGATCTCTCACTCTTGCCCCCCCCCACACACACACACACCCCTACCATGCAGGCACTTCTTTCTTGAACAGTGTGCCCATGCCTTTGAAGTAAGAAACTGTGTTGAATGGTATCTTATCTTCTCACTTCTGGTGCTCCACCGGAGGCACACAAATAGCTTTGCCGACGTGGCAGTACCCCAAACCTAGCATGTCTTCTGCAAAGAGCTATGACAGATGCCAACCATTGCAGTTTCACCAGCGTCAGGCTATGACATTTTCCTTTCTGCTGACACTTTGTTGGGTTCTGTTGCCTTCGTCTGCTTGTAATTTTTACAGGCTTTTGCTGCCTTTAGGATGCGATGGTTGCAAAGGCACTGCTTTTCAGTATTTATATTTTGCTTGAGAAAGTGTAGTGCCTATTGTGTACTGCCACATAATCCACTGGGTGAAGGGCAAAGGCAGCACTTACGCATGAGGGCAGATGTATTTCACGTAAGGGAGCCTGATGGAGGAAAGTGCCTCAGCCCAGCTGTGCCTGAAACAGGGAAGGCAGAGACAGAGATCAGAACTTGCACTGCATGGCATGTAAACAAAAGGCTGATAGAAGACTCATTTTTCCTTCCCCACCTGCCCCCCCCCCCAACCCCAGAAAAAAGCTGTTGTGTTAAAAAGGTATATTGGCAAGGGTCCAAACTGCCCCCTTTTTTGCCTAAAACGGGTGGGGAATATGAGGTCCTGCAGACGTTGTTGGGAGTTCAGCTCCCAGTAGACCCAGCCAGTACAACTGTGGACAAGGAGTAACCTGGAAGGCCACATGTGTCCCATATTTGGATTCAAGGCTCAAAGCAACTCTTATATCCTATTTCAGTAGCAAATATCCTATCATATAGCTTAGTATTATCTTCACATTGGTGCAGAATTTAAATGCATAATTTCCCTGAGAAATCATCCAGATATGTATCTGTATTTCTGTCTCTCATTCAGACACACACAAAATTTATTTCCATTCCCAAATGCAGAGATTGCAGGATCCTTAGAGCCGATCTGTTACAGGCGCCCCCCATATTCTGGACAAGGAGTCTTCTTCAGAGATATTCCTCCTTACTAGCCATGCTCAGCTGCCTAAAAAGTCACTTGGCTGACTTATCTGGTCAAGCTAGTGCAAAGAATGGCAATGGAGACAGCGAGTCCAGTTTCATTCTGGAGAAGCATCAGGGTGACAACACAGGACCGGGGGCGGGTAGGTAGAACGGAGGCACAGTGCAGTGGCAGAATGTATACTTTACATGCAGAAGGACAAAGGTTCAACCCCAAACACCCGCAGACAGGGCTAGGAAGGGCCTATGCCAGAAATCTAGGAGAGGTGCTACTATTCAGTGTGGGCCGGGGATACTCAAATGAGTACACTCCAGATGCTAACAACTCCCATCAGACCCAGCCAGGATGGTCAATGGTCAAGGATTATGGAATCAGTGGCCTATAAAACATGTGGAGGGCACCAAGTTGCCAAGCCTTGGTGTGGACCAGTTTTCCCCAAGCTGGGGCCCTCCAGATGTGCTGGACTACTACTCCCATAATCCCCATCAAGCATGGGCACTGAAAGGCTCACTGTATCGAAACTGAGCTGGATGGTCTGACTCAGTGGAAGGTGGCTCTGTGCTTTGGACTAGAAAGCTGCGGCCCCCCCCCCCCCCGCCCCCTGCAGCACTTTCTCATGCTAATCCTGCTTGGCAAATATTGTTCTCCTCAAGTTGGCTGGAGTAGCAAACCACTAATATTTTCCAGCAAGAGGCAAGTTCACAGGTCTGTTCCTAGTACAGACTCCTGCAGTAAAGAAGGATTTCCCCTGCCCTCCCCACTTCTCAGTAACCTGCAGAGCTTTGGCCACACAGTAAGGTTCCCCCCTCCAATTACAACCCAATACTCACCCTGAGTCTCCAAGCCCATGTAAAAAAATGACCTGTGAAATTGAGCAGAAAATAAGCACATTAGCCAGCACAACAAGTGAGAAAGTGCTAGCAAAGCACATCCGGAAGCATCCTGTGAGGTCAATTAGTTGCGAGGGGGAGGGGGAGAAGATGACAAAGATGAAAGCAGATAATGCAGAAGGGAGAAAGCAGGAAGAACTGACCCTTAAAGTGAGACAGAAAGACTGAGAGCAAAGAGTATGTATGTCACCAAATCTGTTTGTGCTTCAACTGTAATCAGATAATAATCTCAACACCTGCCTGCCCAAAAATTAATAATAACCGGAATAGATCTTGTTAAATTGCTGCCAACACATCTGCTTCTGAAACTAGAGGTCAAACACAGAACCTGAGGTTTGTTTGCATTATGCAAAAAGAACAGGAAGTTCCCTCGCCCAGAATGTCTCAGCCTATACAGGGCACCAGCACCACTCCTGTGCCAGACAGCAACTGCTGGGCCAACGCTATCACCTGTACAGCTAACAGGTACAACTGCCTTGCCCTCTTGCCTGGTTCTAGCCCTAGAACTTTCCCCCCTCAAGGGAAGTCTAAGCATATAATTGACACAATTATAGGACCAGGGCGCAATGTCAAATAGGTGTCCCAGGGTGATCTCCAGAAAAGCCTACAACACTCCTTGCTCCCCCGCCCAGCAAATATATTATACAAACACTAAACATTATATATTAAGATATGCAAATAAGAATTCGTGCTGTAACATTTGTTCAAGTTGCAGAGTTTGGGAGCCTTACTTTGGAAAGTAACCCAGGATAAAGATCCTGTTGAAAAAGGAGCCTATCCATGGGATAAAATTCAGCTTTTAGAAGCTTCACATAGAAATACTTCCCTTAGTCATACTTCCTGACCTGTAATCCTAGGCAAAAGAACCAACACCCACCTAGGAACAGCAGTTGTGCTTTGCCTCCCCATTTCTATCGGCAAATGCAAATCCCAATCTTCCTGGAGGAAAACAAGCCTGTTTGTTAGGCAGTTCAGAGAAATTAGCTATTCAGCTCTGGGTTAGAATGCTTCCACTGGAGAGCCGCTTGGCCATGCTATACTTCTCAGCAGACGGTGCTCATGTGCCTGACCCAGCCGTGCTATGCTCAGTTGCAGCCTGGCCTGTTCGCACCATCAGTTACCCTGAGATTCCCTCTCCAGCTCCAAACAGTTTACAAGGCAAATGACAGAGGAGGCAGGTAGCTAATAGTTGCATCTGCTCCCTGCCCGCCAGAGCACCATCGGCACTCTCCTGATTACTACCCAAAGAACTTTTGAAAAGGAACCTGTGAAGAATCCCTGGACCCATCACCTCCACCCATGCTGCAGCCAGCTAAGTCAGGATGACTAGGCAGGTGGTGGCCCCAACCAATATCATGGAAGACCATCACTCCACCACTGGATGGGCTTCAGCAGGGAGCTGGTGTAGATAAGGAGGGTAGCCAGTCAAAGAAGACACAGGGAAGAGGGGGAAGCAAAGGGGAGGAGGGAGCATAGCAAGCCGAAGTGTGAGAGTAAAGGGCCAGGAAGGAGACTGGAAGGGCAGGAGGAGAAGAAAACATGGAGGTAAGTAGAAAGAGACACCACAGATGTGGCACTGGAGGGAGAGGTTGGTGGGCTGTAGATGCTTAACTTTTATTTCAGGAAGCCAGAAGGAACAAAACTGCACAGGAAGGGCTGTGCAACCCCCTTCTCCCCCCAAACTCCACGGAAAGCAAGCAATCCAGAAGGGAGATCCTAAATCCTTAGACAGACCCAAGGGCCTCTGGGTGGCAAGTCAAAGGTCAGGACAGTGGCAAGTGAGAAGAGATGTCTTGGTAGATGAAAAGCATCCAAGCATGTTCCAGGAGACAGTGCTAACTGGCAAAGGGCTAACTGGAGGAACAAGCTTAATGGGGAAGAACTGGCACATGGTTATTTCAGAATTTAGAAGGGTTCTTCTGTGCTTTAAAATAAGCTACAAACGGAATAAGGGAGACCCATAGAATAGCCAAGCCAGAGCTATAACTAAGCTGGAATTAAAACAAACAGTACTCTGGGTTTCTGTGTTATGGAACCCTTGGGATTCAGGGAGGTTTCACATGCTTTATGGTGCCAAGTACATGAGAAGTTAGTTAGGAGTAAGTGAATATAACTGCTACATGAAGAGGTAGCCTAACTGAAATAACAATGAGACACAGAAAATGGTACTACTTAGTTCATGTTGCAGATCTGGAGGTGCAGTGTGCATGTAACCATGATATATAGTAATATGTGATGTTCACTTTTTATGCAAAGCAAGTTTCTAGCCCTTATTATTGCAGTCTCTGGGACTGATACTTGTTTATCTTGTTCCCACCCACTTCTGACCTCATGGCCCAAATTATTATGCCAGAAAACCTATTACTGCCCTAGTTTCATCTTTCATCAGTCCCAACCATCCTTCCACTCTCTCTTCCACCCATTCCTTGTTAAAATTGTCCAAATTCTATAGGCACCTCTGCCTAACCCTCAATCAACATACACTACAGAGAATTGTCTAAAGTTATTGGCAATCTCAGAACTATTTCACAGGCTTAATTTTTTTCCCATGCCACTTTGACTGTCTTACAATTCACCATTTTTAAAAAGCTGAGCCAAAATTACAATTAAATATTAAGCACATGTACATATTTGCATAGTATCCCAGGAAAAGGAGCAAGAGTTCCCATTGCTAAATTTGAGATACAGCTGATCCAAATCAGGGAGACAAAAATAAATCAGATATCTGTTAAATAGCCATACAAACACCGAATATGACTCAAAGTGCACAATTCAGCATCATAAGTATCTCGGGACTCTCATGTTTTGAAAAGGAAGGCTACTAGTCCTTTGGACTGAGTAGAAAAGATTTCAAAACCCAACATGAGGAAAATGATTCGGATTAGCTAACAGTAACCAAGAGAGACCCTGTGTTTCCCTTGTGGAATCTAAATCCTTGCGAAGGGAAGGGACTTGCTCCATCACACAGACACATACAGATACACAATAAACTACAGGGTACATCCGATGGTGCGAATATAGCCAAGGGCCTGAAATGAGATCGTGGATTAAAGGGGCTTTGAAGCCCTCAGTGACATTCCTGCAGAGCCACCAGGGTGTGATGGTGCAGCCAGAGAAACCTCACCGAGGGAGAAAGCAAGCTTTAGTCATTGATTACCTTGTTAGTACAGGAGAAGCAGCAATGAAGCCAATGCAATTTGAGACAATTGTACTAATTACCTGCCAGAGGCAGCGGGGCTGTTTTTGTGCAGGTCCTACATACAAACAACATTGTGTGGTTTACTGGAAAGCAACAAGACAGTTCCTGCCCCCTCCCCTACATTTCTCTCTACAGAATTTCTGCCACTACTCCCTTTCTTTCAAACTGAAATACAGGGAGAACAGCCCTCCTGTGTTTAGCAGCAGCCAAGAGGAGGGGGAGAGTTCGAGTTAATTCTGCTAATCTTCCTGGTTCCCAACAGATGGTAAGGCAACAAGATGGTAAGCGCTCTTACCGCTGCAGTCTCCCGCTCTGCCCCTGAAATGGTCACGGCATCAGCAAGGAGGGGGACAGACATGTTGTTACCACACATACACCAATAGAGGCTTCAGCAGCTCGCACCTGCAGGAGAAAGACAGACAGACACACAAACAAACAATTATTCTCACTGCATGTTTAACATAAAAGACTGCAACACTTCACTTGTTGGCCTGCCCAACAATGCAGCTAGACAGTGCAGTTTTATATAATGATGACAGGCAGGCATCTGAAGCTAGAGCATTTTATTAAGTTTTATATGCCCGCCCGCCCGCCCACCCACCCCTTGAGATCAGCGGGAGAGGCCCTTCTCCGGGAACCCTCCGTGAAGGAAATTAGGAGGGTAAGTACTCGGAGGAGGGCTTTCTCGCGCCCAATCTATGGAATGCGCTCCCCAGAGAGGTCCGCCTGGCGCTGTCATTGTTTTTCAGCGCCAGGCAAAGACCTTTTTATTCAAACGTTATTTTAATTGTTAATATTATTTATTTATTTTATTCTTTGACCAGGGCGACTTAATTTATACTGTTAAATTATATTGTTTTATATGATGTTATTTATTTATATTTGTGAGCCGCCCTGAGGCTTCGGCGAATGGGGCGGCATAGAAGTTCCCTAAATAAGCAAGCAAGCAAGCAAGCAAGCAAGCAAGCAAGCAAGCAAGCAAGCAATTTTCCAATTATGTATTTATGGATGTTTAAAGGTAAACACAGTATGGATAAAAGAGTATAACGCCTCTGTAGAACTATGGTTAAGTCAGTTTTCTCCTTTCTAAAATAAAAGTTAGGGTACTCAAGGCTGCTTTATATGCTGCTTTCCACATGCTTATGACACTGATATATGTGGTGGTTTCATTATGATGCTGCTATGTGACAGAGGATGAGATATCACTCTTCAAATGTCAGGAATATGTATCTTCAGGGCATAGATTCATTCCTACTGCATGAACGAGGCCCTTGGATGAGTAAATTTCAAGCTGTCTTAATAGGAAAAGTAAAAGCTTTGGTCAGTACAATTTTAACTCTATTAAACTGCATAAAGAAACTGTGTGGAAATAAACACTGCAGTTTAGCTGCAGCTACAAAAACCTAAGGACAGGACAAAAGGCTTTGTCCCTTTGACCAGAAACTGATGGTCCAAGCAAGCGGGGAGTGCACTGGGCTCATTAGGAAAGACACACAACGGCCAGAGCAAGTAGTTCTTAAAAGCAATCTGGACTGAATCTTGAATGCAAATAATTTACAAGATCCTAGCAGTCTTTAGAAATGTCAAGTACTCCTGTTTAAAAAGCTATGCTTGAGGGGAGGGAAGAGGGAAAAAGTACTGAGCAAAGAAACAAGGGCTAAGCACTAAGAAGCCGAAGTTACTTGTGCTTCCCTTGCCCCAAGACTCTGAGCATACTCCAAAATAATCTAGATTTTTAATCCGGTTTTATTTATTTATTATTATTATTTGCATTAATATACCACCCTAATAGCCAGAGGGCTCTCTGGGTGGTTAACAAACATTAAAACCCACCAATCCTAAACAAATAAATAAATTGGCTATACCATGACAGTATAAAATAACATAGTTAAAATGAATTAATTTTAATAGTATATGTATTTAACTTTAAAATATTGGTTAAATAAAAAGGTCTTGACCTGGCGCTGAAAAGCATATAATGACGGCGCCAGGCGGACCTCTCTAGGGAGCGCATTCCATAGCTGGGGCGCCACTGCAGAGAAGGCCCTCCTCCGAGTACTCTGTCTCCTAACCTCTTTCAAAGAGGGTTCCCAGAGGAGGGCCTCTGTTGCCGATCTTAGGGGGCGGGAGGGCATATAGGGATAAGGTGTTCCTTTAGGTGTCCTGGTCCCAAGCTGTTTATTATTGATTTATCGTATTTATTAATTTGAAATACAGGGTTCATACATTAAATACAACTGCAAATTAAACAGAGACCATAATAGTGCCTAATGTTGCACCCCCAGACTCCCGCCTGCCCGCCCCCACCTCACATACACACACACACGTGCAGTGCACTGCTCAGACTACATAGCTGACCATTTGTTCTGCCTTCCCATTCTTCCTGGCTCAAACAACCAGCTGTGAGGGAAAGAGAATTGCATCCTGCAGCCAGCATTTTCCCAGCCCAAACTCCTGGAAGCATGTCAGTCCACTGCTCAGGTGACCAAATTCCAGAGGGTTAGCTGCGGAAGCTGTTGTGGGGCATCTGAGCTTATGGCACCTTAAAGGTCTACAACAGGGGTCCTCAAACTTTTTCACCAGGGGCCAGTTGAAAGGTGCCGGTGCCAGTGCTGGGTGCGGGCCGAAAAGGTGGTGCCGGCAGTGCGCACTGGCTGGCGACAGGGCGGGGGTGGTGCGTGAGGGTGTACATGCTGAGGCAGGGACAGTGCGCACGGCGAGGTGAGGCAGAGGCAGGCAAGCACCACAAGGCAGGCGCACGAGGCAACGGCTTGCTTGCTTGGAGATCGTTTTCTCCAAGCAAGCAAACCGCCGCCTCCCTGCGTGCAGGGTGAGGTGGGCAGCAGCAGGCATGCGGGTCCACACACTGCAGGTCCAAATGGGTGCGGCGGGCCAGATCTGGTCCGCGGGCCATAGTTTGAGGACCCATGGTCTACAAAATGTGTTGTTACTTTCTGTAAAAGGCGAGCAGGCTAAATAGGAAACAGAAGGGAAAAAATAGAGTCCCAGGGGGCAGTGGAGAGAGTTTATTTGAAAATGATTTTCTTCAGGGGCTGAAAATCACCTGTTTGTTTGCTGCATTTGTTATCATTTGTTATAACTCTGTCTCCTATTTTACTTGGGTACCTTTCCCTTTTATTTGATTACTGATTAGATGAGGGAAGTCTAAATATTATCTTGCCTGAACCATGCTAGTCTTTTCAGTGGAAAGGGCTTCTATGTAGAGCCCTTTACTTTGCAGTATGAAAAAAACCTGATATGCACCCTCCCTCTCCCTCTCCCTCTCCTTCACACACACACACACACACACACACACACACCATCCCTTTGAATCTGCTTTGCAAACATGCATTTAGCTATCAGCAGCAGTCAAATCAGATAGCCTGGCATTTGCTCATGCCCTGCTGAAAACACTGGATTGATTAACATGCTGAACCAGCCTTTGCAAAAAGAACATCTTTTTTTCCCTAGCACAAGGTTACTTCTCTGCACAGATGGGCATCTGAAGCACAGACAGACCAACTTATTCCCATTTACAAAAATTCCAGTTGGGTTCTTACAAATATCATGGATGAAAGCATCACACCATCCATCTACAATCTGTGATACTTTCATTATTTACTGCACTGCCGCGCTGCCTTTTTGCTAAATATGCAAGACAGTGTACAATTTAAAATAATAAAACAAAAGAGAAGAGAATGGGGAACCTGTGACCCTCTAAATGTTGTGGAACTATAATTTCCATTATGCCCGGTCATTTGACATACAGGCTGGGGAACTGCAGCCCAGCAGCACATGGAGCCACACTCTTTAAAATTCAGATTTAAAAGAGAAAACATCACATGGTGGCATTCTTGCTACCCCTTGGTGGTGACCTCAGGAGGCTCATGGCCTGCCTTTTGATCCCCTTCATATAGTTTATGGCAGCACTATGGGTATTTGTTCTCAACAGGCTTTACCTTCCCTGGGCAAGTCTTTACCCAATTAGGGCAGGGTGCAGAATGCCTCCCCTGGGGGTTTGCAAAGGCTATGCTCTCTTCCACTGGTCCCGCTCTCTTCACCCAGCTATTGAAAAGGTTAAAACACCTCTCCTTAACTACTGGCAGTAGAAGCTTCAAGCTAAAATAGTCTAGTATTTTCATTTTGCTTCGGCCATAACCCTTTTGCCTTGGGTCACACAATGACTAGAAAGCTCCCCTCACCCAAGTTCTCTAAAATGAAACTCGGTGACATCCACATATTTTGGCCTTTCTAGACTTCCCCTTTTCTCAAGCGATATGCTATGGAGCCTTCAGGATGCCAGTTCTGCAGTTGACATCCAACTCTGTGCTGCCTCCCACCCTCCTGCTCCCATGCCTGTCAACAGCCAGCTAAGATGATGAGGGCCCTTGTGCAATAGCTTTCCTAAGACCTTGGAAAGTACCATGTGAAGGACACAGGGGGAATCACTTGCTTATACTCAACTGAGACATAAGATGTGTTCATTTTAGGCATGGGAACTGCATCCCAGCAATTCCCTCCTGCATAATGCAGTCTGAAAGGTTACAACAAACATTTCTCTACTTTTGTAGCATCAGTAAAGGACAAAGCTATTTATATAATTGCTGATAACAATGCAAGCACACAAAGATTCAAGAGCCTGTGGTGTCTCGGTTACCACTGAAACATTGCTACTGACGCAACCAACAGCAGGAAAAAGAAGGGCTATGGTTATTGGCCACTTATTTGGCCATGACTATGACTGCAAAGGCTAAGTAATTATCAAGCCATTTCCATACTGTCAGGACATCAGGCAGCCTACAGTTACCCTCACTGGACACATTCGCAGTTAAGTCCCCTGGGAATGGAACAACCCACAGTGCATTGAACAGACAAATGGGTTCACCATGGCTTGTTCACCCTACCAATTATTTAGCCAGTATCGCTATAACCTTCATGGCTGAACCTATCTTGTCTACCCCTCCCTGCTCCAATTTCTATCCCTTTTCATTCACCTTTTTTCCTAGAGCCTTAAAACACTCACAAACACACAAATGGAGTTATATTTTTATTGCTTTTTCAGACCCAGAAAATGGAATAATTGTGTTCTTAATTTTATTATCATTATTGATTATTTTGGTCTTTTGCAAGTATGCAGGAGTGCATTTACAGCTATCCAATATGGGAAGCCTCGCCTGGTCAATTACCTTGTCTGTTTCTGCTCTTAAGAAGAGTGAAGAAGTGCAGCAGGAAAAGACTGCAAAGCCAGATGCCATACAGGCAGCTGTGTGCACAGTTGCCAAGGTCAGATTCTCTAGCTGTCAAATAAAAACTATAAGTAAAAAGAGGGAAAGTAGGTTCCTGTAAAGGTGGGGAGAACAAAGTCCTCCTTGTAAATGTGATCTTTTCAGTTTTAAGCATTA